CATTTGAAAAGCAGAAACGTGGCCTAAATGGATGAATGGGTCGCGTAAACCTCATCAAGGCTAGTACTGATTTGTGGAAAACTGCAGGGAAGGATTGCGGATCGAAACGATAGGACTACAGTTTCTCAACCTGTTTCTAGCCTGAGTGATGAGAAGTCTCTCGCGTTCATACTTTGCGATCTAATCGCTCGAGCGGTTCGATTGCGCGATCCAAGCGATTGGAACGCGAATTATGAACGCAAGAGCGCGAGAACGCCAACTAACATACCTCCTTGATCTTCAATCGAAACTCATCATCGTACTGATTTGCCGGTATCTTTGGCTCAGGAAGTAGCATAGGGACGCGAGGCATACCCTCCATTTTTAAAGACTAATAGTTTATACAAGGCGAACAGTAAAAGATCTGAATTGAAAACCAACATGAGTAAACAAGCGAAAGTGCTAGCCGAAGTTAAACAAAGGGCAAAAAAAGCTGAATAACAATATGCGCAAAAAGTCAGTTAAACTGAAATGAAGGGCTGAGAGAAAAGAATGTAGCAAAACGGCAAAGACTTTCATGACTAGATTAGCAAGCAGGATATGGAGATGGCAAAGAAGGGGTGAACTTAGGGTAACTTCACTCCATTACCACATGCATAGAAACGTTTGCTGGGTACCGGAACGTCTATGGTCACAAATTGAAACGCATTCAACTTATCATTATCCTTTTAAAAGCGTGATATCATGTGTAAACAGCACACCCGTGGAAGTTTCACAATCAGAGAGACGTCGTATCACTTGCAGTGGCTGAAGGGAACACCATACGACATAAACGGAATTTTGCAGACAACATCGGTAACCTCACGGATTTTCACATGCCTTGTTCTTATTGTTAGCTGTTAACTCCTGGATGGCGGACTAATCACCATAAACGCACCCAGATTGACAGTTTCATGTCGAATCCGTCAGACTGTTCTTTGGGATGTTGGCTGTCGATGCTAGCAGTTGGATTCCTCTGGGGAGCGACGAATCCACTCCTACGACTGGGCTCAAAATCATCCACTCACAATCAGAATGCTAGCAGAACAGGTCAGTAATGGCACTTATTTAGCTTATTGACATATTCCGATTTCTTTTACCTATAATTTCTCTTTACAAGTAGGTTACAGGCGCTGCCTATATCATACACGGTCCACTGGTCCTACTTCAACTTGCTTGCATTCCACTCAAGTTTTGCAACCCTTCGGGGTGGGTCAGTAGGACAAAAACCCTTGTACTACGGCTCGCCTCGTTAGTTAGTGTAGGCCGTGAATTGTACAGGCATTCGAAATGCTATTACGATTTTCAATTGAGTAAAAAGGCGCACCGCAACTCAAAAAAAGACTTTTCAATTCCGAAAGATTCATCCTCATGATCCTTATCTGCGCTCCAGCATCCTCAGCGCACTATTTATGTACAATGTCATGCCTTTCAACCACCGTTTGAAGTAGAGTTCCTCGAAGCTCTTTCGTCACTCTCACAACGGAATTTGGAAGGAAGAAACTTACTTTCATGATCAGTACAGTCGGCCCATGGAAGGTACAGTCGTTTTCCCTGCAGATGTTGAGGCTTGTCACGAGGTCCGGTTCAACGCGGCGTCATCTCGCTCTTCATCAATTGTTGGAGCGATTAAGTGACAACAATCGGAAGAAAACGGTCTGACTATGCGCCAAACCCGCTCTCCACTCCCCACCATCTAGAGACGCCCCAGCGTCTGCAGCGAAAACTACTACACATCATGGCGATGAAGAAAACTGGACGTTCAGCGAGAGCATGATACATGCGACCGTCTCAAGTACGAACCCTATGACTTGAATCCGCACGTGTATCCTCCTCCTCCTCCTCCTCCTCCTCACCTTCATTCCCTCCGCTTATGTGAAATTTCTACAAAAAAAGTTGAGAAGAGGAGGTGGGGATGCAAAAATCCTGCTCCTTTCTCGAAACCCTCTCTACTTTCATACAGTCTGTTCCTCGCCTGTCAAATGGACCCCTTCCTTCAACCACTCACATACCTCAAGAGTCATGTGCATTTCTCCCATCTTTGGTTGAACCTCACGCCGACGAATCAAACAAATAGCCCTCCAGTTCTTGCGGAGTTGTGAGAGTTGCTAGTTACTACAAGAATGCTGAGTTATGGGCAAAAGTCGTGCCCCAGGCGGGAGTCGACGCACCTCACGCTTTCCGGGCGAGTGCGCTATCCGTTACGCCACCAGGGCCGCTTTTACCCTCTCAGCTTAACGGCTTTTAACTTTAACTGGTGGCGTAACGGATAGCGCACTCGCCCGGAAAGCGTGAGGTGCGGGTTCGACTCCCGCCTGGGGTACGACTTTTGCTCCATAACTCACCAGGGAAGGATGGTAGGTCGAAGCGGCCATTTGAAATGAGATGTGTACCGACCGCCGTGTCTTTAGACAGTGATTCGAATCTGCCAAACGATTCTCCGAACAAAGTTATGGAGGTTTGTAGGTCTGACCACCAGGACTGTAGGGTTAACCGGCCAATGCTCAACACTTATATAAACAGTGTGTGACTGAACAGCAAACGTAGTGCGATGGTCTAGTGGATAAGCGATGGGTCTCATGTTTGTGCGATCAATGGTTCGAATCCTTGGTTAGAATGTTGTTTTGCATTTTTTTGAAAATGTTCCCTACAGTTTTTAAAACCATTCTTACGTAGCCAGGAGACCTAATCTTGCCGAAAAATGTTACTTCTGAAGGAATGGGGCCATTCTGGAAGAGTTTTGAGGGACACCTCTGAATGCACTCATTCGTTCATTCCGGTGCCATCATTCATTACGTTGTCCGGAAATTTCTCAGCTTTTTGTGCACCTGTTTTTTGTACATTCACTGCTGATTAAAAACTC